TCACAAAACTGGACACTATTGGGTAACAGGAATACGCTGAGAGGTAACCAGCTAAAATAACTCCTTTCTTGTACACAATGTTGAGTTCTAAGCTATAAGGAATAGAATATGACGATAATGAATTAGAACCTTCGCAGAAAATTTGGAGTTAAGGGGCAGCTTGCAAACTGCTCTGTATCACTCAGCAGATAATGAGACAAGAACGGATGTAAGGCTTCTTCGATATTCCCTTTGGTTCTCGAGAAAGTCTATTTTAAAGTTGGAAAATAGAAAAAAAATTCAGTCATTGTCACGCGCCTTGAGGTCATAGAAAAATATTTAAAATTTCGTAGAGGCATCACAATCGTTGCGTAGTAATATCTAATGAGTAATAAATTTTCATCAAAATCTGACATAACTACATCCTCTATTAATTCGTATAACCGGAAGCAACTTGCATAAAAACGAACCGCAGTTTACGGCCTGCAAAGATGCAAATTTTGCGGCGATTTTGTAACTGAGTTGTTCTTTCGGGTCTTACGTTTTGCGAATGGAGGACTGTACCTAAAATCAACAAAAACTGATACCGCAAAAACTTCTTCTCGTTGTCAGCAAATTTGAGAACATAAAGGGGCAAATTGAATTTACAGCATTTACTGCTTTTTTAGCTCCGATGATCAGATATTGATTATACAATTGATTTTCTTTCCCTTTTGAAAATAATGTTGTTGACATATATATTGTCATCAGTATAAATAAGCTATAAATTTTTGTTGACTAGGAAATATTTACCTCCTAACTTTGGAGACCAAATCATAAAAGCACCATTCCCAAGCATTCATTTTTAGCACACGTATACCAGAAATGACGTCATATATCAGACGCAGTCTCTTATCCGTCAGCCTGGCGACCTTGTCCTGAAGTCTTTTGAAAACGCTTCCCAAAGTTGTTTGATAGACGATGAGAACTACTGAAAAGACCGCGCCTCCAAGTGTTTGCCAACCGACAAAGATCCACAGAAAAGGGAAAACGACAAGTATCCCCAGAGGAGCAGAGAGCGATCTAAGGTTAGAACAAGCTTCATAGACTGGGACCATGTCCTTAGAAATCAAGTTTATCAAATACCCTGAAGTTCTTTCAGTGAGAACACGATGGCGCGTATTCAGGATCTGCAAGAAAAGAACGAGGAAGGAAAGAGATAATTTATGATTAGGTGGATTGAGTGGTTCAACTCTATTATTCATACATTATCAAGGGAATTCTTGTTTTAAGAATCTTTAGAGTAGGGCCGAATACAGAGCTGGAGTTACAACAAGGAGGAAAGAGTGGATCATAAATGATACAGAAAAGTGCTTATGGATCACTAGGAAAAGGTCTCTGAGGTAACACAACGAAAGTGTGGGTGAAAATTGGTCTGCTGCAGCAAAATAAAATTGATGTTAATCTCGACATTTGTACAAGACGTTTACTTAAATATTTAATAAGAGAGTAAATAATCGTTTATCTAATAGTTTTCTATGTTGATCGCAGCGTCTCTACTACATTCCGGTTTCCGTTTTTTATTGCGAACCAAAACATGAAGAGCTACGCCCTAAAAGAAACGGATCGAGGAGGATATAACAGAGACGTCCACCGTTTCAGAGCATGCGCACAACATCGAAAACTCACCTGGCTGTGCTGTGGAATTTCAGCCAATCATGAATGAGAAAAGGTTATAAGATGACGCATAGACCAACTAGATGTGGTCGCCTTAATGACTCAGTATGAAGTCAAAACATCGCGATCCGCATGTGATAAACGATTAAACCGGAAGGACAAAGTAATTGCCGCGATGGCAAACCGCAGCCCTAGCTTTTTATGATATTATTTTCGATATTCATCTCCTGCGTATTTCTTGACCCCAAATCCAGACTTTACTCCCTATACCATTAGATCTTCCCTTACCAGGTGAGAGATGAAACATCTATTCAAAATTTCTCAGCTGGTTAAGCCTTACTTATCTTTTTATCCAAATTTGCTTCGTAGAGAACGCGCAAGACGAATACAAATATCACGCA